ATTCTGGGAAATAATCTTAATTCAATATAACGAAAACCAAATTACAAATATAAATATTTATCAAACTTTGTGTTTCTGTATTACGTAACTACACTGAAAGTAATACTGATAGAAAATGTTTAGTAAATCTATGCATTACCTCTATTTAACTATAATATTTTGAACAATTTTCCGATAGCACATACAAAACTCATGTTGTATAAAACACATCAAGAGCATTGACGCATTAGCGGACAATCAATAAAGTCTCTGAACGCTGGTAGTTCGGCCCAGGATTCGAGTCCTGGCGAATGAGCTCATTGCATAGGTGTTTTCCCCTTATGCAAGGTGCATTCGAGCGAGTTTCCCTCAAATTCCTCCATGAAGACATCCTACCCTTAGTAGATAACCTTTGAGTGCATTGCCAAAATCAAGTTAAATTAAATTTAAAAAATAAGTAAGCATCAACAGCATTAGACTAGTGTCTCTGTTTAATTCTTTCTATATATATATATATAGAAATAACTGAAGGTATAGAGACTAATAAAATATTAGAGCCTTGTATTATATTTAATGAAATTAAATAATGAAGAATCTGCATAAATTTATATATGTTTCTCGCATTGCGAAAAAACAACAGTACCTACAGCCATCAAATTTTGAATAACAGAATAAGAGTACTAGAAGTCAGATATTTTGAATTTTGATTTAGTATTTTTTTATCTATTTTATATTTTTTAAAACTTTAATGAGTTTTTGATTTAAAGACTGAACGCTTTCAAAGTGATCAGTGACAACACTGTACGGAATAGAACACTTTTATCTCCAGTGCGCAAGACTTTCTATCGGAAATTCTTAAGATCTGCTTTTAAATATTTTTAGCCCAAAGGAGCATTAGTACAAATGCTCTCAAAACATGTAGTGTGTATAAATGAAATGGAGGAAAAAAAAAAACTTCCTTGGACATAATAAAAAAATCTGAAAAGTTTTTAGATGTTAGATTACATCCAAAGGATTTTTTAATGTTCTGTGTAATATTTTTATTCATTAAATATCATATTCTTTATATATCTGAATCATAAAATTCAGTTCAACAGCAATATCACAAATTAATTTTAAAATGAGCATATCATTAGAATTTTTGATATACAGTCTCGCTCGCAGGAGATAACAATTTTTTCTCTGTACAGTGTTGCCATTGCTCACTTTGAAATCATAGAGTTTGTTAATAAAAAATTCCTTAAAGTTTTACATAATATGAAATAGATAATAAAACAAATTCCAAATTTGATCTTCCACATGCCCATATTCGTAGGAGGATTACGTCATTCAAAATTCGATGGCTCTATGTACCATTGTTTTATCACAATGCGAGAAATGTACATACATTTATGCAGATTCTTCATTATTTAATTTCTTTAAATATAATATAGGGCTCTAATATTTGGTGGCAACAATTTGAAAAGTGAACCAACATTTATAGCGGACCAACAAAAAATGCTAAAATCAAATTAACAGTCCTTCAGGGAAAATTGCCTCTTGGAAATTAACTCCTTTTTTTTTTTTTTTTTTTTATATATAAATACCGAAAACATTTTGAATACCTTCTTTCAAAACAAGCAATTTTTAAATCAGAAGATCAAAAAACACATTGGGGGAAAAAAAAAAAGTTGTTTTGCTAATATTTGTAAATAAAACTGAAGTGTTTTATGTGTTTATGTAAAAATGTAATTTATGTGTTTGTATGTGCTTTATATACTTATAAGTGCTGGTGCATATATATATATGTACAACTTAAAAGTCATGTTAGTATCATCAACCTATTCTCTGAATCACCAAAATGTAACTGAATTAACAGCCGTTGTTCAACAATGTAACCAATTAATATTTAAAAATAACTCTTAATGAGATGTCAAGAGAAATGCCATCTCTACAGATAGTGAGTGGTAGGCGAGGAACACCTGTTTTTCAATGTTAGCCATCAGGTTCCCACCCTCGGTCACAAGTTGAAGATGTTATCATTTGAGAGGCATTATTCTAAAAGCCAAGAACTCTGTAGAAAAATATAATATGTGAACTATGAATTTTTTTTTTTGGGGGGGGTATTTTTCTCCCATGAAGATACCATTAAACTGAATAATTTTAGGATAAAGTACTGTAAAGTACTTCAGTTACTTGAAAATACAGGATAACAAAAGAATCTAAACATCAAATTTACTTATAACAGTTACAAGATTATTCTTTTTCAAATAATGTTGAGAACTGCACTACCATGACTGTGAGGTGATTCTGTGCATTAATAAAATAATAAATGGGAAACAACAACAAAAGACTTACAACTAAGTTTAACCAAAGCCTTCAAAATTTCAGTTGATAAAAAACCGATTACTCCATTGAAGTGCTGTATTTTAAATCCAAAATATTAATTAATGTTGAAACTAGTATTTAGAATAGACAATCATATACTTTTAAATATGAAAGTATGTTTCTGTATAACCATTTGGTATATGTGTATGATAAATAAATACTTTACTAATTGACATTTTTTTTTTGCTGCTTTCCCTGTCTAACTATTGTGGTGACATACAATATGTAAGCATACTTATAACTAGCTTCCCCCTTCAAACTGACATTAAAATAGGTTCACAATAAATTTCTTTTTGAATAATAATATACACTTACAATCAGAATGATACATGTCAATGAAAATAAGGACAGCTTAATTAAATGATGTTGTTCCGAGGAGACTGCTCTAAAATTTTGTCATTTTAATTTAATTAATCATAAATAATAATAATTTATTTATTTAATAATTATAGTTTAATTTAATTAATCTAAAATTTCATCATTTAATTTAAATTTACTGACCAAGATACCAATACTCTCAATGATTATGCCCAGTGGCGGCTCATAATAAGCACTGTGGAACTGCAGCACCCCCTATTTCCCCTTATTATTATTTTTAATATTTAATATAATGTGCCCTTTAGTCTTTAATTCTTTCTTTATACTTTTACAATACATAATCCTTAAGCTTAATGTCAGTTGCCATCCCCTACTTTGCGAAAAAGGTACGAAATTCTGTTTGGAACTGCGTGCTTCACAGTTCCAGCGACGTGGTGTTTGGCTGTTCTGCGCATGCGCGCACAGAAAGCAGCACGCGAGCCGGGTAGCAAGAAGAGCACTGTCGCTCTTGCAGTGCCGAAATTCTGGCATGTTGTTGGAAACTTGATTTCTTTTTACTCCACACGTGTGGTATTTCTCCACAAGGTGGAACTTCATCATACCGACTATAAAAAGAGTTCATGGAAATTTGCAACCTTTAAAAAATTGCCTTGCTGAAATTCAATCAACATCAAATGCAGATCAAACTATTGCAAAAGCAACAGGAATTTTAAAAAACTTATATGATGATAATTTCAAGTTTTGGTTAGAGCTTTTTTATCAGATACCTCATGTTGAAATAATATACAACTAAATACAATCCAGAGAAATTTGTATGTTTAAAGTTAACGAATATATAACAAATTTCAAAACTGCTATTTTAGAATTAAGAAACTCAAAGTACTGTAAGAATTTTTCAAAGACACTGATGGTAGAAGCTAAGGAAATATGTGACTTTATACTATATATTGATATAATGCACAGATATTCTTCCACTAAACACTTAGCAGCTGCTAAATTGTTAAACAAGAAATGCTTCGCTAGTTTTAGGAATGAACGAGCATTCTACAGAAAAAATAGTACTGCCCACTGAGCATATTTAATGATTGACAAAGAAAAGCTTGAAACTGAACTAAAAGTATTCTATTGTAGGTCTGATATCCATGAATACCGCAAATTAATTGAGCTACTGAAATTTATCTTCGAAAATAATCTAGATGATGTTTTTAGTGAAATTACAAAACAGATAAAAATTCTCTTGAGAGTTCCCATGACTACATCAGAGGCAGAACGCTGCTTTTCAACATTCAAAAGAATGAAAACTTTTCTAAGAAGCACTAGGAATTCGGAAAGACTAAATGCGCTTGCATTGATTTCAATAAAGAAAAATTTCCTCAGTTGTCATCCAGAGATCAAGGAGAAAATTATTGATCATTGATCTTTTCATGCAAATTAAAACAAGAACAATGGATTTCATTTTTAAATGAATAGAAAAAGATTGAACTGTAACAATTTTGGTTAAAGTAATTAAGAAATGTTTAATTTTTTTCATGTAAGATTTCATGAAGCTTCAAAGTAAATTTTCTTTTTATACATGTTTGTTTCCTTTTAGACAATTTTAAAACAAAGGTTAAATTTTTTTGGAATAGCACCCCCACTAATTTTAGCCACGAGCCGCCACTGATTATGCCATACCAAGCTGCAGTCTTCGAAGAGTTGAGAGATTTACCCTTAAACACTTTAATTATTCATTCATTCATTTTATATTATTCACTTTATTTAGAATTAAAATAAACACCTTTTCAATAAAATTAAACTGCAATTATTGTACTTGCTTTTAATTGGTTATTCAAAATTTAAGCTCTGTAGTAATCAATTACCATATCCAGAAATTAGATACAAAAATTCTGCATTTTGAAATCACACTACACATTTAGTAACATGCTTTACTTCTATTAACTTTCTTACCTAAAACAATAATTCTTTTTATACTAAATAACGATAAATAAAAATGTTCTTTCACTGCAGAATACCAATTTTCTACCAAATCAATTGAAGAAGTTAACATATTTGTGATTTTCTTGAGGGAGAGGCAGGATTTTGCCGTCAAACACTTTTTTATCAAGAACATGCCCCCAATTCCAGCTCACTCTATTTTCTTTGACTATTGAGAAAGTGGGAAGCAATGCATAAATTATGTATTTTATGTTTTCCCAGAGATTTCTTATGCTCTATTACACTGAGTGAAAAAGTAATTTTCTTATAAAATTTACTATGAATGTGCATAAAATATTTTAACATAGATTTTACATATCAAAGTTTTAAAATGCATAACATATTTACAACAACACAAAAAACACATCTGGAAATAAGCATTTATTTAGCCTGAAATCCACATATTCTTTAAAGGCATTAAATGACATTCACACAAACTAAAAACAATCACACACTTTAAATGCCACTGGTATAAAAGCACAATATCGTACCAAGAAGAGCAAACTGAACATTACAATCATTTGTGCTATTGAAATGGATTTTCACACAGTTTTAAGTAACAAGTTAAGGAAACATTTTTATAAAGTTTCTTTACATACATTTTGATATACAAAATATGAAGCAGTTTTGTTACCAGTATGAGTAATTTGATAGAATTTATCTTACTTACGTGGCATCACACTTACTTCACAAGCTATTTCAGAATTAAGTTACATGTGCAATGAATTCTAAATTTTCTCAAAATCCAAATCTTAAAAGGTATTCAACATTTTTGAATCCTTTCAAATAAGGGGCAAAAGGCTTTTCTGTTTTATATTCAAAGCTGTAAAGCTAAACTTGAAATTTGTATTTAATGAAAAACAAATTTAATACACTTTAAAAACACACATATTTATTAAGGAACTATAAATGAAATTTGAGAATTAAAATCTTTGAATAACTTAACAAAAATTATTTGAGTTTGATTAAAATTTTTAATCATTGATGTTTTTCCACTTTTTAGAATCTTTTCAAATCAAAGCAAGTGTAGAGGGGAAAAAACCATTTCAAAAGTTAACGTAGATAAACAGCAAACATGAGAAACTATATTCTCTAAAAAAAATTCAGAGTTCAGGAAGGAGTTTTGTGGATATAGATTGACCAGGTCCGATGAAATTACAATAATTGCATTTTTTATTTTAATAAATGTTTAAATTTAATCCCTCCCAAAAAATTGAGTTAAAAATATAACAGTTTTTTAAGATTGGATTTAAAATATTCATAAGATTCAATGATTAGAATGTCCCATCCTTAAATCATAAACTTAGTCTTTAGTTGCCATATTCAAGTACCAAATATCAGTACCTTAAATTACTACTATCAATGATATGTTTATGCATTTAAATTAGAGAACTCATAAATGCATTTGTTTATATAACTACTAATATCAAAATGTACTTTTAGGGTTCTTCAGCTTCTTGAATTTATTTAAATTCAATTTTAGTTTCAACTAACTAAGGTATATGTTAAACCTAGTTTTAATTAACTAAGCTTATAATTATTTATAATTTCAGTAAAAAATATAAGAACAAAATTAACACATTTATAATAAATAGCAATGAACACTAACATACAGTTTCAAATATAAAAATAATTCAGGATTCTGAAAAACTGCACATTTTATCCTCAGGTAAGTATACAAGAACAGGTATATATGATATGAAAATGGGTATGAATTATTCTTTTCCAGAATGATACTTGTTATAGTTCGACCATCTCAAGTGCAACCCTTGTTGGCATTCTGCCAAAACACATAGACTCAGTGGCGTTGCTAGGGTGGGGCAAGGGGGGACATCCATCCCGGGCGCAGCATCCAGGGAGCACCAAACTGATGATACATATTTCAAAATGAAATTTTGAAAAGGGCGCAAAATCTTTAGGTGTTCCCGGGCGTTGAAAATCTTAGCTACGCTTCTGCATAGACTCGTCCAAAAGGGGCGTTATTATTTGTTGCGATGTGAAAGGTCTGCTCTTCTCCAGAAAGAGCTATGCTGGAGGGAAAGAAAGTCCCCATCCTTTCACCCTACTGAGAATAATTCGGTCTGAATGGCGCATGCGTGTTTGCGCTCATGGTTGCGGATAAGGCGATCGAACTATACTAATCAAAAGAGTAACTTACAGTAATTCAGATGCAAAAATTGCCCTAAAAATACATTATTAGATGCAATGCATGCATAATTTTTATACTTTTTAGATTATATATACATATTTTAATTGATATTTCTATTTATATCTACAATTCACATTGTTAAAAAGGCTTAAGGAAAAGCTCTTAATTTCTTTCAACTTAAAGGTATACCAACAGAAAATTCAATTATAATATATATAATGGTAATAAATAGCAGTAAATACAAGTATAGTAACTAATGCATTATAATATCTAAAAAGAAACAAATTTTGGGAAAAACTTTCAACTGAAATTATTTTGTCTCCTTAAAAGATTGAACCATTTTTTTATAAACATGGATATAAAATTATCTTTTAATAATTAAAAAAAAACCTGTTTGAGTGCTGTATATAAATTAATAAAACACAACACGATTTTCCATTATAAATTAGATATACATTATTGATTAACAATCAACATTCTCACTGTTATAAGAAGAAAATGATGCCTAGAACTAAAATGCATTTATCCAGAGCATTTTGCAAAGAATCCAAGAGATACAAGAAATGGTTTCATTAATTATAAAACAATAGCATGCCCAAGTAAAAGACAAATTGCATTCTGCTGGATTTTACAGTTATTTTATTCCAAGGCTAAAATGAGAATGCAGTGGCTTGACAACTCTTTTTAATTTTTGGCATAAGTAAATAAAATTATAAATTTTACTACTGGAAGAAGAGGAAAAATAATTATAAATGGAAATTAATAATAGTTAATTTTATAACCAGGTGGAAGACCAGAGAATTCTGAAATTTGACAACAGTAGGGCCTAATCAAATCAGGCAATGGTTGGATATGCACAATTTTTGCAGTACTTATAGTAGAAAAAGGATTATATCAAGTATTCCATGACAGCTACTTTCTACATTTGATATCCAGTGATAATAGTATATTGAATTTTATTATTTACTTTACAATCTCACGCTTATTACTAACATGCGCTTTTTTCTCTTGTGAGGCTGCAAACATGCATTATTGTACATTTGAAAATCTGCTTATGAACTGAATAATTCATTAAGCATCACAAAAATAAGAAACTGAAATTACATTATTGAAACATTCAACATACATTATTTTTTATGAAACATTTTAAAACAATAAAATTTTAATTAATACAATGAAACATTTATGAAAAATACTGTACCGGGAAGGGGCTAAGGCTTTTAAGATTTTTTTCTGAAATTTAATCCTTTTCAAAAACATGCAGAAAATATTGCTTAAAAATATTCAGAATACTGAGCATTAGAATATAAATGCAACTAAAAATCAACAAAGTACATCGCTTAGAAATTAACAAATTTAAAGTATAGACTGGAATTACAATAGTAAACACTAACAATGCATATATATTACATACAATATTTAACAAAGCAATGGCACATTGCTTTTTTGAACAAATTCATACACATATGTATTTATGTGTATACACATATGTACAAAGTTTAAAAAAGAATCTAGAAATTATCAACTGAACAATGCAAAATGTTACCATTTATACACTGTGTAAAGACAAGTGTGAGCAGCAACTAAAATCCATAATACCTCAAACATCTCATGTTTGAGCACATGAAAAATCAAATTAAGATATGACTTTGGAAAGCTCATTACATATAGTATAATTTAATATCCATAAAATTTACCCAACATGAGTTACAGCTCTTAAGATCTACAAATTAATGAAAAAATATTCAAACATTATGTATTTATCTGAACAATGTAACACAATCTGAACATGCATATGACACGTAACCGAGTTATTTTAACAAGCCAAATATCATGAATAAGCTGAAAAATAATTTTTAAATTTGGAACATTTCTTTTATGCACAAGTTTTGGTAAAATTAAATTAACCAAAGAAATGGTATTTTAATAGATAATTACTATCATAAATTTCAGTGAATAAAATCTGAAAGTATTAAACAAGAAATAAATTTTTCTAAATTTTGAGCATATCTTCTAATGAAAATTTTAATAATTTGTTTTCTATTATGCAGGGTTCAGTGCATTAAGGAAAGAGAAGTACACAAACTAAAACCATAAATTTTTATTAAAATATCCAACAGGGTACATAGTACCCTGATTGAACATGTTTAACTCTTTCGCATCGAAGTCTCCCAAAATGCAAACCATTCAGACACCGGCAAGTCATCCAAGTGCCTGAATCATTTTGTATCTGGTGCTCTTCCCCCATCATGTTAGTACATGACTCATTGCTTTCGAGAGTTGCTAAATGACATGCTAATCCTAGTTCTGTTATATGAACGCTCCTTCCTTCTCCTTTGTGTAGCATCAATGTTTAGCTATTAATGTGCAAAGTTGCAATCCTGTCCAATGGGGAAGCCGAAGACAGTGGTGAAAGGCGTATGAAGATTTACTTAAGCAGGTTACTGTTAGTGCTGTAGCAATCTAACTGGCACGGGGGAAGGAAATCCATTCCAACAAAAGTACAGATATACAGGCATTTCCAGTTGTACGAGTGAAACAGATTTTGGCGTCTACAGATGCGAAAGAATTAATGATCTAAATGACACAGTTAAGTTTAAATGAAGAGCTAATTAGCAAGACATCCACTTCTCTATTAAGGTTTTAAAAATATTTTTAATGAATCTTGTCAAAAAATCTTAAAATTAATGAATTTTTAAAAACTTTTACAGATTATATAAATTGCTTTAAAAATTCAATAATTATGTTTGAAGATTATAAATATAAAAACTAAATAGTGATTTTTAAAAATAAACAAATAGTTATTTTTAACAAATCCAATTTTTTTTCTAAATATGAAAATACAGTTAGACCCATACGCCATGCGGATTTTTGTTAGTAGGCACAGCATTCTCCAACTGCCTGGGTGAGCCAATTATCTTCCGTGTGCTTCCAGGCCTATTGTGAAAGCTTCCTGTATTAAAAAATAAATAAAAAATGTTAAGGTATAATGACCAGTAAAATAGCATGAAGACAATGTTTCTCCCACCCTACACACAGTTGGCCACATACCTGCATCTGCAATTTTAAAATTCACATCAAGGAGCAAGAGCTCTAACATAAGACAATAATACCACAAAAACCTAGCAAAAGGTTATCAGAATTTAAAATAGTGGCGAATTTGAGGAGATCCATTAGATTTCATAAGAAAAATAATAAATTGCATACATACACACATAAAAGAAGACATTGATTTCCTTCTTCAAAGAAAGAGTATTTATTGCATGGAATCTTTAATTATTGCAGATTTTAGTTGCTTTTTTTTTAGGGAAATATTAAGAAACACGAAATCCTTTATACATAAATATAATAAAAATAACAAGAATAATGATTAAAATAATATGAAATCCATTATAATTTTGAAAATAATTAAGTGGTTAAAAATAAAATTCATTTTCATTTTAGAAATATTAAGTCCGAAATCCGGACTTCAAAGCCACCAACAACCTTTTTTTTTTTTTTTTTTTTTTTTGTATGCTTATGCAAGCGCACTTGACTTTTTTCTCTCCCACAATAAAACATGAGGAGAGTTCAGATTCTTAATTTCACTTTGGCATTAAATAAAATACCTCGTTATTGAAGAAACAATTACTTTAGCATAAATTTGTGTGATCAATAAGCTGCGTATCTGCTTGCCATACGTCTCAAACTGAAACATCGCTGATTTTGCACTACTAATATTTTATATTCCTGACGGTAACCTGACAAATCATTACTTATTATATTTTGCTTCCATCACCGCATGTTTATCAGCATATGACAACTTGAGTAATGACTTATACAGTGATGCCTAAACAATTTTTTTATATTAGTAATTGAATAACAAAGAGTACGGTAACCTTTATGTTGATATTACGCTTGGTGATGACTAAAGAGGTTAGGGTTTGGTTAACGCTCAAAAAAGCATAAAGAGGTGAAGGTTAACACTAAAAAAATGTTGAGGAGGCAAAACTTAGCAAAAATTTCTTTCCATATGGCTAAAAATAGATTTTTATTCATGATACTCATAAACCAAAGATTACATTTAGTGCTATTTGAATTAAGAATAACTGATTTGTTTTCACATAAACCCAGAACCGGTGCCAGAGCTCAGGTTGCCTAATTTAGGAAAGACAAAATTTTTGGAATTTAGAGAAGCATCGAGCAACAAAATTAAGGGATGACACAATTTTTAGAATTTAGTGCAAGCACTGGAACCCGAAATTTAGAGGCAGCAAAAATTCAGAATATAGCGAGGCATTTGGTAGCAGAACTTAGGACCCGCAGAGACTACATCAAGTGGTAAAATAAGCGCTGGCCCTCGAAAAGCCTCGAGTATATGTGGAAATTTTTTTATTCAGGACTTAAGCATAAGATATTTTATTTAGGACTTCAGCATGTGCAAGAAATAGATGTAAGTATAATAAATAACTAAGCTAATACATTTCAAGCTTAATTGTATCAGTGCTTGATAGAAGCAAGACAAAACTTAGTGAAACAACTTGTCTTCCATCGCCAATCTCATGACACATAGCCAATAATATATAGCGAGCGCTATTAAGCTAGGCTAAAATTATACTTTACCAATTCCAAAGAATTTCAGTTAATATAGCGGATTGCATTATTCCTTAACTTTCTAAATTGATCCAGCTTATTATTTTTTGCAGGTTATTATTACAGCACTTTTATGAAAATTAAAGTTTGAACTTTCGATTATACCAAAATAATTCAGGAGCTGCAACAGGATCTACAAAGCGACAGCATGTTTCGATGTTCATTAAACAAAAAGTGGAATTCCTGCAAAAAATGAACGAAAGTATATTCGTCTCAACACGAAGAAATGAACTTAAAAAAACGAATGCACATATACGACAGGTTGGTTAACCAAATTTAAAAATCATCATGGTAAAAGGCAATTAAAAAATCTCAGGTGAAAGACTGATACTGAAGCTGCTGAACTATTTGCAGTTGAATTCATTTAACTCATTAATAGGGAAAACCATATGAAACTGGTTTTTTCTGGCTGTGAATTGGTACCCCAAAACACCTTGGCAACCTCTACAAAAAAGGCTCTAACTGGGTCAAAGATACCAAAGCAAGACCCACAATTTTAGCATATGCAAATGCTGCATGAATGCACAAGTGTAAGCTTTTTTGTAATTGGAAAAAATGCATGACCTCAAGCATTTAAAGGAGTTTCCTCACAACATGGATGATGCATGCATTAATGAATGATTGGTTTGAAAATCATCTCATACTTGAGGCTCGGCAACATTTGAATTTGGTTGGTTTTCCTAATGACGCAATAATTGCTCTGAATGTATAATTCTTCGGCTCATACTTCAATTAAGTTTTAGTGAAAGATAATGTATCCCTATTACTTTTTTCTCCAAACTATATGTCCATCATTCAGCCTATGGATATCAGAATAGTGCACATGCTGAAATGCAAATATAAAGCAGCATTTTTAAAATCCATGTTAAATTTCTTGAATAACAGCAAGACTATTCAAGAATTTTTGAAATATTTTAGCATAAAAAGTTTGGAACAACTTATGGCCAGCTGCCATATTTCATGGTGAGGATGATGAAGGTGATAGCCACGAATATGAAGGTTTAGGGATATTACAAATCAAAGGTGAAATCCTCCCACTAATGGATTTTCTAAAGAAATGTGGTGAAGCGGTAATAAATGAAGATGATATAACAGAAGTTTTTCCTTTTGATGATAATGCCCCAATCATCAATAAATTAATGGATGGCAAAATCTGTAGTATGGTTCCAGAAAACTCAGAAAATAATGCTACCAGCAGGTGACAGAGAGGTTATTGAAAATGAAAAAATTTCGATTGACAACTTAGTCGGAATGCTTGACACAGCAATTACAGGACTTGAACAATAGACTTTGTAACTGAATAAGAAATTATGTTTATCTACAGAATCGGGGGTAAAATAATATTACCACAATTTTAAAGAGAAAATACTACCACAAAAAAACAAAGCAACTTGAACAACTTACACTGAAAGAAATGTTTTATAAAGTAAACAAATAAATATTAAGCTCCATTTTTTTTGGTAAATTTTGATACCTTTAAGATCATAAGTGCTTCATTATTTCATACTTTTAATTTTATAATTTCTATATGCCATCGTACTAGATTTAAACTGATGATCTAATATCCGGAACTCCCGAAGTCCGGATCTTGGACTTAGTACTGTATTTGAGAACTTCCTGTTTCTCTTGGGAACAAGCTGGGTCTGCTGCGATGGGCGGTGATCAAGGAAATACTCGTTTAACATGACAACAAACTGAACCTCACAAGTGGGATATTCATTACTGATCAGGTAAGAGAAATAAAAAATCTTGATTTTGTCTGAGAAATGCTAAGGTAGTAAGAAACATCACATGTCGGGAAAGATGACGTCTTTCCCCTTCTGCAATAATGCTGTAATGTCACTTTTTAATTAACCAAGAAAGTCTATGTTAAGTTTTAAAACAAATATAAAAATATAAAATTGGTCTGAGTTTTTCCATCATGAAAGTTTGGCGATGTTACAATCCGCTGCAGTGATTAACAGCAATGCGAGCTGAGCCTGTTTTTGACTATTAAAAGGCCAAATCTTGTTATTTTACTGTAAAAGACTTTTATACTTGTATCTTAATTACAAATTCAATAACTTAAAAATATAATTCTAAAGATAAAGGCTTGTTTTTTTCCTGTTAAAAGCTAATTCACAGACAAATATTTGTAACAGTCATGTTATTTGATTTTAAATTCTTATTAGTTTAAAAAACTGTTAATATTGTTACGTTTTTCTTCTTATGTATGGGTTCGTGGATTTGGAGTGAATAATGATGACACTTGATGAAGTATCAAAATACAATTTATTAGCCAGTATTATTCAACACAGCTCCAAAATCACATTTACAGTCATCGAAGAACTACTATAAACAAGCTGAAACAATCAGTGACACAGCCTTCAGACTGTCACGCTATAACAATGAAGACAGCTTTAGGCAAAGCACCAGGAGTACAGCTCCTGACTCTGCTCGGTCGTTCTCGGAACTCTACGTACTCTCCATGCTACAACTCGCAACGCATTCGATGATACACTAGAGTACAGCTCCTGACTCGGTTCGATCGTTTTCAGAGCTCAACACACTCTAAAATCAAACTCTACAATGCACTAACCCGGGATACACTAACAGACTCTCTCTCGATGCACTCGACGACCAACTCGGTACTGGACTATGAAACACTCGCCGAATCTTAACTAACTCAACTAGGCACTCACTGGCTGACTGTTAACTCATTCTCTGCATACGAGCGGAGTTTATATAGCTTTTGGCTTGCGTTTGAGAACATTCTGGGCTAAGCTAGTAAGAATTTGTTCCAGAAGGTTCTCCATCCGTTTATGGCATATTGTCAATTTTGTCGCCAAATTGTTGATTTCTTGCCAAATATAGCAACCCTGCCTTCCCTAGCCAGTTTCTAGCAACTTTAAATCTGCTTTGCGGAGGAAGCTATCTTACAGAGGCTGGAGATTTTGTAACAATATTATAACTTCCACTTTTACAGTACATATTCAGTGACATAGATAAATTAGTCAAGCTAAGTTTGACTACTTTGAATATGTACTCTTTCCCTTTAGGCAGATTTACAAATTAATTGGGAGTAAAATAATCTCAAGGTAACGGACTTGACATGAAGTGGAAGACATTATTTTTATCGATTTGCTAAATTTTTATCTAAAAATTTTCAATTTGTTTAATATTTTAAATTGCAGAAATATATTTATAGTCATTTTATGGAATGCATTGCTCAAATTAAACTTAAAATTCAACGTATTGCTTACAATACACTATCTTGAATTTTCTTTCTTTTCTTCTGGGAGAGCATATGAAAGAAAAATTTGAAAATGGGGCTTATTTCAATTATTCTTTCCCTGAAGTTATGCAAAAAACCTTCAATTGATAAACTTCCCATGTTCATCAAAATCTGCCAATTTTACAGAAATAATTTTAACTGACTGATCGAGACGGCACCAAACTGATGTCATGAAGTTTTAGAATGAAATGTTTTTTATTCTTCGCAAACAAGAGAGGATGCAAAATCTTAAGCTGTCCTCAGAGGCTGAGAATCCTCAATGTGCATACATTTTTAACTCACTTTTTGGCGGGCTTTTTTTTTCTTTCCCTACCCTATATTTTGTTCAATAAATACTACTGTCACATTTGACATTTAAGGTCATGCTCACAGCTCTTATTTAATGCTAGTTCCCATTATGAGAGATTACTGTTGAAAATTCATTTTATCTATATTTTAATTTAAATTCAGCTTATTTTTTAATTCATACTTAAACATATAGAACAAAGAGCATTTATTAACTTTTAGAGATTTAATAAACTAACCTGACTGCTTTAGATGCAATGATTCATTCACTGTTGGAATGGGAGAGGCACTCCAAATTAAAATTAAGTAATCAAGTAATCTTAGATTGGAACAGATTTTTATATACTTCAAATATATATTTTATATACTTTTATTGACTTCAAAGGATACTGGTCTCTCTTCTTCAGGACCAAAATTTTGTCAAAATATTTTTGTACCTAAAGACAGTAGCGGGAAGAGGGAACATATGTTGATGAGCAAAGCATTCAGAGAGCACCAGATTGATGTCATGAAATTTTAGAATGAAATGTTTTCCATTCTTGGCAAACAGAAGGGGATGTGAAATCCTAAGCTGTATCCAGAAACTGAAAACTCTACATATGGATCTGTGTAAAGAATTATCTGAATTTGCATCTGTTGCTTTTAAAACCAATAATTTTATATAAAATATAAGGATGCTTTTTTTTCGGGGGTGGGGGATTAATTTAACATTTCTTCCAAAGCTTCTTAACCCCTTCGTGCCGACTGTCATGTCTACGTGCCAGCAACAAACACACTCACGTACCGGCCGACATGCAGGCGTGACAGAGCATTTTCCCGTTTACTACCGACTGTCACGTATTTGTGCCAGTGTCCTGGAACATTTTTCAAACTATAATTTCTGCCTCAAGATGGCACTGTATGTCCATATGGTTTCAGATACATGTACATTAGACCTTCTACTCGAAATGAGAGAAGCATGACTCACATACACGTGTTTTTGATTATATAAACAACGGGGAACTAAATGTTTCCGAATGGCGTGATTTATGATGTCTCTTTAAATCGCACTTTATTCGCACGTGGTAGTTGTTTATTGTAAGTAGAAATTTTATATGCGCTAAAGCGTTGAGTATTTCGGTTTACAGTTCAGTTTTTAGAAAATAATTATATCATGTTAGACGTGAATTCTTTCTGTTTTTACCGTTGCAATGTCAAAGCATCGAAAATGTTTAACAGAGCATGAAATAGCAGAAATGATGCAAAATATTTCAGATATTGATTCTGAAATTCTGATATTTTGATATTGATTCTGAAAGATTAACTGAAAGACATTTTCCAAAACTTTGTTCAGAAGATACTGATAAGAAAATGAGACGACGATGCTTCGTTTGTTCACATTCCCGGAAAAATCCTCCAAAACGGCAAATGAGTTATTACGAGTTCCAGGAATGTAACGTAGGACTGTGTGTAGATCCCTCTGTTTTCAAATTTTTCATACGAAAAGAGAATTTTAAGTAATATATTTAGTTTTCAGATGTATAATGTTAAAAGTCATAAAATGGTGAGTAATTAAAATAAAATGTGTAAAATATGCATTTTTTAAACAAGAAATAAGGTAATTAAAGTATATATATATATATATAAATATCTATAAAGCATAAGCCGTTTAAATACTCTATAGAGCATTATTAAACAATGCGTTCATACTTCGGAAATTTCATGAATTTAAGCTTAGTAGCAAAAAAGCCCCCCGGCCTTGGAGAGACGCTTGCGGAAGACACTGCCGGCCTCTGCGATAAGCGCGCGTTTTCGCTACCCGGCTCGAAGGGGTTAAGAAGCAGTGTTTCTTACAGCAAAATAAGTAAAATTTCTTCTTCAACACGTTCACGCCGAGGCCAATTTTATGTTCTTCGCTGTGAGGCGGCACTCGAATTTTTGGCGCGTTTCATCTGGCGGTGCATGATTATTACCTGTTCAGACCTATATACGAGTTGTACGTTTGCTAATAGTTATTAATTAAAATTATTATTAAAAGTGTTTATAATAAATAAACATTAATTTCCATTATTTTAATTTTCAGCGTGTAATAACACAATCGAATGCGTACCACCGGTGGTACATGCTACCCGATGAGGCAGACTAGTGTGGACCACCGGTGGTATGTGCTGCCTGATGAAACAGACTAGTGCGGGCCACTGGTGGTACACGCAGCCTGATGAGACAGACTAGTGCGGGCCACCAAAGGCCCACGCCGCCGTGAACGTGTTAAGAGAATTAGTATTGGAATTCATACCTTCTGCTATAAATTTCCCTTCTTCAGCAGGTATAAGGGATAATGATCGAAGATTGGCTTCTCTTATTTCTTCCATAAGTTTCTCCATTTCCTTTTGTTTCTCGGCAAGTTTTGTCTCAAGTTCTTGCATTTCTTCTTTTACTTGCTCAGTAACAGCCTTCTGAAGAGAAAGATATATTATGTTTCTGTACATTAGAAAGTTCAGATTATTAGCAACTATTACAAAAATGCCACTTTAAATGAAATGATTACACCTTAAGTTAACTGCGCTTTGTTCCAATAAGATGTGAACATCTCTCCAAAGAGCTCCAGTACCATTTAAAGATCTTAAATTGCAATTTTTAGTGTAAGAATACTAAGGTCGTCAAAGTGCTTAACACAGAAAAAAGTGGCAGTAAATTTCTTGAATGAGATACTTAACACATTCTTTTATAGTTTTATACAGTTTAACATTATTCTTAGTGAAATAGAATGAGATATTTCAGAAGCTTAAAATTAATTTAACATTATTTGCGATATTTTGCTAAACTTCTTATGATAATATCAAATGTTTACCAATTTTGTTAACAATTTCTTTTTAATGTGGTGCCAACTTTTATTCCGAGTTCTATTGTACCAGGATATGAGAAAATGTGATGAAAAATTGGGAGTTTCCAATTTTTAGCAGGAGAGTTGGCAGCGCAGTAGCAGAAAGAAATCATTACGGAGAAGGAAGTTTGCTAGCAAGGATAGGAATAGCAATGAATGTCTACACCCAGGGTTCGAACAAATTTCCACTCGTAGAAATTGAGGACCATAATGGGAAAAAGTTAAGGACCTATGTGCAGAGGGAATTGAAAAAACAAAAAGAATTACTTATATGAGAACTTCACTTTTGTAATACCATTCTAAGAACAAAATAAATCTGTAAGTAGGATGAATTGTTATTAATCCTAATCTAGTATTTAACACAATTACACATAGACTTTATGAAACTGATTCCAAAATGACATTAGAATATATGACATATAATTTATATACATTCAAAAAGCTACAAAACATATTTTTCATAGCCACAACATCTGCTGAAGGTGTGTATACAGATCCAGGAAAAGTGTCGGTAGTTAAGGATTGAGGATTCCTCCAAAATATCCATCAGCTGAGACGTTTCCTGGGGCTTAGCACCTACTCTAGGAGATTAGTAAAAACTTTTCTTCCATTGCAAGACCCTCTGCAAAAACTGGACAGATAGCAAGCAAAAGTTCTTGTGGACTAAAGAGTGTGAGGATGAATTTAACAAACTGAAGGAAGCTTTAAAATATGCAAAACTCATGATGTAGCTTCAACTTGACAAACCAAACATTTATTCTTGGCATGGATAACAGCAATCAGAATGTCGGCCCTGTTCTGTCCCAAGAAATAAACGTTACAACAAAATATTTATGTGTCTATTTAAATCTGAAAATTTCCTAAATATTTTGGACGAGTTACATTAATTTCCTTCTCTTTAGTAACTTTCTTAAGTTTATTTCAATGCTCACCTAGGTTTTGCTTCATGCTTTAATTTGTTAATGTTTTAACAACATACATTTGAACAACAATTTCCTTTCTCTTTATTTAACCAAGTTCTTTCTCAACAACTTGCCTTTTCATTTTAGGATTTAAGATTTAATTGAAGATTTCTGTTACTGTAAAGAACTGCATATATTTAGAAACCGCTAATTTTATTTCTTTAATGATATGAGTACTGAGAATAAATGTAAAATATTATAAGGTCATGGCTGGCAGCAGAGGCAGTGTGGCAGAATGTTAGAAGTTAATGAAGCACTGAAAACAAAATTTAGGGATTAGAGATTAAAACAATTTTAAGTGTTAGCAAAATTTTAGAAATTAAGGATTAACACAATTTTAGGTATTAGCATGAAGTTTTAGAATTTAGGACAGATACTGGGCAAAATCCATAAAGGATTCAGGAAGGACCCAACAGGGGATTCAAGGCAGGACTCATGGAGGAGCAGTTTAAGGCCCATAGAAATTGCACCACTAGGCAAAATGCCTAGAGCTACCCCTGAGTATGATGAGGTAAGACATACAAGATTAACAGAAAATTCCTTTCTATAGATGCCTGTTCATGTGATAAGATTAGAATCACTTTTGCAGACTCCCATGCTTCTGCCTATTGAAAAGAAGAGAAAATAAAGTGAAGATAAACATGTTAAAAGCAAGACTTTTAAGAAATTCAAATAACCATTTTTGCTGTTCTTACAACCAATCTTCCCAAAATAAGAAATTAATTACAAATCTCATATAAAACCCATTCATTATGTGTTAATACTATGAAGACATTTTTTAGTCTATTGCAAAGTTTTTGGTACAGTTATTATTATTATTATTATTATTTTTTACTTTAGCCTTCTTGGGGTTTTTGAAGCACACTTTACAAGATCATCATATGACCCTAGCTTTTCCCAGCAGGTTTTAAAGTTCATGCCACGCTAAGAGTTCATAAGTTCATTAACTTGTCCGCTGTAATTAATATTTCACTAAAATATTCCACCCATAATGAGCAATTCATGTTGACCAGACAGGCAAGCCATATGAAATTAGAGTGGCATTCCACATGTTAAGGACTGCACGAGCTCTATACCAGAGATTCTCAACCAAAGAGGAATTTCATAGTTTCAGGGGTTAATTAATGCAACCAGTTTTTACTTAGCTATTAAGTGCTTAGTTCTAATTTATGAATATAAAAAAAAAAAAAAACTACTTTTATTCAAGTTTTGGTATTATCAACATTTTCTACACTTTTTGTTGTTCAATTTATAAAAACATATTAAAAAATCATTTAAATATAGATAAATGTACATATTTACTTTTCAGATTTTAGAAAGAAAGGGGGGAATGATCTTCTAGCAATGGCGAAAGGGATGCAACGGGCAAAAAAGGCTGAATCCCTGGTGCATATCAACTTCCATGTTTTGCTAGTGATTCAGTAACAAGTGCCTGATATTTCAGTGAAATTTTACAACCTATTTGTTCAGCCACTCCTTGCTGCAGTTGAGTATTGCTGCAATATTTATAGACAGTAAGGACATTGCTGTATTGAGTATTGCTGCAATATTTATAAACAGTATGTAATATTTATATATAGTAAGTATAGCAATATTTATAGACATGAGTGCAGAAAGCTAGCTTTGGTTTTGAAATAGTTGAGAGTGAAACAATTCTAGACATGCTTTATTAGACTTGAATCTAATAAAGCATGCATGGGAAACATTAGGAACCTGGATATCACAATAGCCATATCTCTACAAAAAAGGGCACTTACAGCCAACAATGCTATTAAATGCACGATTCCCTGTCATCAAGTAAGCATTTTAGTTAGAGGATATCACATTTGATTTGAGATTGTTGAAATTATTTCTTTTTCCCTCCGATGAAGGCAATTTTTCTTCATTATTTATCGTTTGTCACCGACTAGGTCACGTGACTGGCGGCAGAGAAAGAATGTAATAACTCTTTTAGTTGAGTGTGACGCTTGAAATGATCTGTTCTTGGCTGCATAGTGGTAATCAACAATTATAATAATTGTTCTTGATAAACTAACCTTGGCCCTATGATGAGGAAATTTATATTATAAGTAAATTGTGTGTTTTGAATACTGTAAATAATGTACACAAGCTCTTCATTAAATATTTCTGTGTTTCAACTGGAAGTTCTTATTTTCAAGTTGAGTCTGTACGTGAAAATGGTATATTGACTCTTGATATACTAATATATTCTTGATTAAATTGATGCTCTCCCAACTCTGTGAATAAAATAGAATCTTAAATCGTGATCATAACGTTCAAGTTTATACAGAGATAAATATTCCATTTTTCCTAAATGCCTCACTTGCATTTCCTAAATGTCACATCATAATTAATGCTCTTTTTCATTTGTTTACTTTAATTTTTTTTAAATTTATTTTTAATGTGGTGCATTCTCTTTAAAAAAAAAAAAAAAAAAAAAAGGGCACTTTTTGATTTTATATTACTGCAGGGTTTTTTGGGTACTACTGTGGGAGTGCGACTCTCAGGTTACCTTGTGTTGAGTGGTTGCAGGTAGCGAGCGTATCTGACTCCTTGTAATGACTGGGGTAACGAAGTTGCATACTCCTACTGCATTTTAAACTCAAACATTTATTTTTATTATTATTATTAGAAATCTTTACACATATATATAGATAGGTATTAAAAATGAATTATAGTCCTCGTAGTGTGAGGAGTCTGCTAAAGAAGGTCTCTCTAGATGACAGCTCAAGAGCATTGAAGGTTTCTCTAGTCGAGAGTTCAGGAGCATTCACTTCATGTTAATCTGATGGAAAAAATCTTCAGACTGAATTAGCCACGCCTCCTTAATTTTACATCCTCTGATTCGTTATATCTAGAACAATATCAGAGGAAAAATCAGATCATTGGCTTATCGCCCTTCCTGAAATTGAGAGGTTTTGACGACAGACATATTGCAGAACATTAAAATCTCCTGACACTAGGCATGAAGTTATGTCCTGGTGATGCCAAAAACATGTCGAGTGACACTTTGTAAAGGCTGGCAGGAGTGAATTGCAGCAGGGACCACACACACGATTTACTATCTCTGTGTGGTCCGCCACATTATGCTTAAAGGAGCATTTTTTAATGTTTTGTGTGTTACCTTTATTTATTAAGTATCATGTTCTTCGAATTTAAACCATAAGATTCAATTCAACAACAGTATCAATAAATAATTTTAAAAGATTATATCTTAAGAATTTCCGATACAAAGTCTTGCACGCTGGAGATAAAAATGTTTTTCTTCCCCCCGTACAGTGTTGCCATTGCTCGCTTTGAAACCGTAGAGTTTCTTAATAAAAATTCATTAAAGAGTTACAAAATATGAAATTTATGATAAAAGAAATTCCAGATACCCATATTTGGTGGAGGATTATGTTATTCAAAATTTGATGGTTCTAGGTACCATTGCTTTATCACAATGCAAGAAACATACATATATTTATACAGATTCTTCATTATTTAATTTTTTAAATATAACACAGGGGGATAATATTTGGTGGCAACAATTTGAAAAGTGAAATGGAAATTTAAAGTTTTCAATGCAAAATGCAAAAATTAATAGCCCTTCTGGCAATCCCTACAACCTTTTGGGCTGCTAAAATATATATATATATATATATATAAATGTATTAAATAGGTTTGGATTTATTTCAAATTCACTGCTCATTTTTTAACAAATGGTGGATCTTTTGGCAAAAAAAGGTACGGATATTCTCCATAGGTCATTCAGAAACCTATCTCTTCCCTCTGCTTAACTTGAAATTAATAGAATTTAAGAAAAATCCTTTCTTAATGCTGCAGTAAGTGCTTCTGAAAATAAATCATGAAGGGTGCTATTGAAAGCTTACTGTGTCGCAAACCCTCCTCGTGCTACTGTTGCGGCTGAGTTTAGGCTATTGACTGGACATGACTGCCTTGGTGCTCATTTGTTTCATTTTAATCTGACTTCCTCAACTTTATGTGCTTTGTGCGATTCTGAACAAGTCATGGACACTGCTCATCTGGACCTGTGACTTTGTTTGTGTTTGCATTGTGTTGTGAGGAAGTATTGGAGAGCTTCTTGCCTAATGATCTGATGGTCAATGGCAAAGGCATTTGTTAAAGAAAAAATTTAACAACCGAAAATATAAATACGTACATTTCTATAATAATTCAGATAAAATTAAGGCTAAAACAGAAAGTCAGGTTCCATCAAAAATGCTACCTGATTTTCAGCTTCAATCACCTTATCCTTCAACTGCTCTTGAATGCACTCAATTTGGGACTGAAGATGGCGTTCTTGCTCTTCCTGTTCCTTTTTTTCTTGTTCCTCTCGGATTGACTTTACACGTCTTTCTTCAGCAATTTCTTCCAGAAGTAGGCGGATTCGTTGTCGACACTGCAGAAGCTCGGTCTCACAATTGGCCAGCTGCGAGCGGGCTAACGTGAGCTCAGACCTAAAATAGAAGATAACTGCAGCTGAAAACTATTCAGATTAAATCACTTCTCTTTAAATGTCTGTAAAACTGTTTACTGTTTTCAACTATTACTTTTTATGTTATATAGTTCTAGCTAATTCATATGTCGTTATTTACTACTATTAATTTCTTAAAATATACCACAGGGCGATAATATTTGGTGGCAACAATTTGAAAAGTGAACCGACATTTTCAGTGAATTAAAGCAAAATGGCAAAATGAAATTAATAGCCCTTGTGGGCTAATAAGATTTTAGAAAATTAAAATAACCCATACAATGTATTTTACATAATGATGCACACTTAAATGCATTAATAAGAATTCCAGAAATGCGTATGTGCACAAATGTTAATTTGTCAGTAATAAATAGCAAAGTATTAATTTTAAACCTTTCACAGAATGAAAATTATTCACATATAACAGAAATTTTACTAAATAAATTTCCTTAGAAAAATATTAAAATATAAATAGCCTTACTTTAATAAGTACGTTTTTGCAAAATGTTCTCATAAGGTATTAGGACCACATGAAGTACATGATTCATCTGTCCTTAACAATTTTTTCATACAATACTTTGGTTAAATATTTATAGGATTAATATATAAAAAAATGTAACAATCAATACTTAGATGCTAGATTTATAAAAAATGTTCCAGATTATTTATGAGGTATTTTCAAACATATGAAAATCCTGTACTTAAAAGATTATTTTGGTCAGAAATATGATGGTCATAAAGTAATTGGCCAACAAACAACCATATTGGGAAAGCACAAAGCAAGGTATCCCTGCAGCTTCTGCAAAATAAGTACAGGATAACAGCCAATCATAATGCACGAAGATACAGACATACATGGTTTCAGATAAGGTAATCCTGTCTTGAAAATTTTCAATATAAAAATCAGGATTTCACAATAGCATGAGATTCTGTGTGATGGAAAACAGCACAAGGCACTGGAACATTTTGTGCAGAACGAGAAAAAACAAAAATATTACATTGGTCTTTATACATCGGAAAACTACATAATATGCACACAGAATTGTGGATGAGATGGTAGCATTATAGCTAAAACATATTGTGGAGGTATAAAACCATATGTTACTATCTGTTTATGAGATATAAAAGCACATGGTAAAAAAGGAGAATGAAACATTTACAGAAACAATATGCTAAACTTCTGAAGCTGTTTAACTACAGATACAGCAAAACTAGTCCTGCAAAATTTACAAATATTATGCCGATTCTTGCTGTCTGACAATAATCATTATTTGGCCTGTTATTTAAACCTAAAGTGCTAGATTGTTTTACAAAAACAAACTAATCATACTTCAGACTGTTGTACTGCTACTCAAAACAGTGCGTGCTTCCACACTATTTTAATCAAATGCAAATGTTGTAGAATAAATTTCTGAACTGGTACACAAAAAAAATGAAGATTTTCCAATACAAAGTCTATGAAATAAACAAGGCCTATTTTATCTTGATAGGGCAAGAAAACATGAAGAGCTATATTTATGGGTTTGATGCCAATCCCTACGACTTGTTACCGATGCCACTGTTTGGTGCTAAAGTGACCATATGGACTGCAGTGACTGCTGATTTCCTTCAGGTCCATGATTTTTTAAAATGCCCCTACACACATATTGTTCTTAATGCAAAGTCATAGCCACAAACTATGTAATGGCACTGCCTACAGAAATGATTCTACAGTTACAGGCACATAAATGCATTGCAGAAAGTTGCTTAGATACAGAACAATGCTCCATTATATGCAACTATGAGTGTAAAATGATCGCTTTAAAGTCACATTGATGGTTGCATTATATCACAGATTTTTCCTTACATTAAGTGGTTTAAAGAAAAGTATCAGGAGAAAACAGCAAGTATCTCAGCTGCTATGCATGATGAAGCAGTATTCTTTGTTATGGTTGTATACACTGTGTCTTTGATTGTAATGGAATAAGTATATATATGTAACCTCAGTTTGTAAAAATGGTTTACCTAACCTTTGCAGTTGTCTTTTGTTTCATTTCCTACTCAGATCCTCTTATTATTACTATACTGCTATCTCACGATTTCAGAACAGATATTTATAATGCTTTGTGTGATATTTATAATGCTAATGTGTTTTCATCCACAGTTCCTACAGCTTCTGTAGTAATCTTGTGTTATTGTGAAATTACTGTGTTTGTATTGGAAATATTTGTGACGCAGATATGATAACTGTGATACATGTTTTAATCCTATTTTTATGCACCACGAATGAATGATGTCCAGTATTTATCTCAAGAAAGTTTTAATGGTTCCTTTCTTTTTCACTCCCAAGGTTGCTTTAGTTTGGTAAGGTTATTTTAGTTACTATACTGCATTCATAAATATTTATATAGAGAAAATATTTTTATGAATAGAAAATCAAATTTTTAAAATTTCTTTTCAATTAATATTGTTTTAACTTTTATATTTAAACCATTAATAAATAAGGAAACAAAGAAAACAATGCTCATATTTTCAAGGTTATACATTATACAGTCAAAAGTCGTTAATTCGGACACCCATAATCCGGAATGATCTATAATCCGGACCTCAAAGCTAAAAACTTTCTGTGCATGCGCCGCGTTGGCACATGCGCACAGGCGTTTTACGCGTGCGCGTACGACTTTGACTACTGCGCATATGCGTGTGTGCAAGTGCAGAATACGTTTTCGTCTGCGCGTTTAAAGTATAACGGACGGTGTAAGCTAAAATTATCTATTTCAGTTAATGTTAATGATTGCGTTGTTCCTTAATCTTCGAATTGGACCCCGCTTATTATTTTTTGCAGACTGTAAGAGCAATTTTATAAAAGAGCAATTTTATAAAAGTAAACTTGAACTTTCGATTATGTCAAATAGAATTTCCGATGCTGGAACTTAAAGGATCTACAAAACGAACGTATGTTTCGATGTCCAATAAACAAAAAGTGGAATTGCTGCAAAAAATGGATAAAGGCATGAAGAATGTGACAGAGAGGTTAGTGAAAACGAAAAAATTTCGATTGACAAGTTAGTCGGTATTCTCGGCACAGCAATTACGGGACTTGAACAGCGGAACTTTGTAACTGAACAAGAAATTATGTCTGTTTATAGAATTAAAGAGAAAGTATTATCACATAAAACAAAGCAACTTAAACAACTTACATTGAAAGAAATGTTTAATAAAGTAAACAAATAAATATTAAGCTTTTTTTTTTTTTTTTGTAAATTTTGATACCCTTTAGATCATAATTGTTCTTTATTTCATAAATTACGGTTTCATATTTTTAATTTTAGAATTTCTGCATGCCATCTTACGAGATTTAAACTGATGATCTATAATCCGGAAAAATCGATAATCCGGAATCGCCGAAGTCCCGACGAGTCCGGATTAACGACTTTTGACTGTATAAATTTTGCACAATAAGTAATGTGTGGGAAAATTCAAAGAAATTGTTGGTCAACACCGTAACTATTTTTTTGGGAAAGTTCATAATGGAGTTTTTCAAATTTAATTAAAAACAATATATATACTTTGCAGTCTTTTGAAAATGTTTGGAGTGTATGCTACCACGGTTTATCATTCATATGTCTTGAACAAAGTTGCTGCTTTAACTTTGGGATTAGAAACATCATTGGAAGTCTCTTTAAAAAATCTACATTTTATTGCATTAAAGTACAGGGTATGTATTATCGATGTGCCTTTACAAGCATTGCCACTGAATAAAACTCCATACTGCCTCATCTAAGACGTTGTTAATCTGCAGGTAATTAGTGACCAATTAACTTAACATGGGTTAAATGTCACTGATTGTTAACTCATAGGCCATCAGTGACCAACACATAGGCCTTAATTGTTACATTAAATAAATTATGATTTTAATTAATGGCAAAATTGACTTGAAATTAACTTGATAAAAAATTTATCTAAATTTACTGTACTGTCCGATAAGAGATCTGTGTATTGACTGCCAATAATTGTGACTTAGGAGTTTACCAGTATTTTTTGTTCTAGTTTTATTCTAATCATCTAAATTTAATACACTTCTCTACATCTGTAACTATTAATCACCTGTGACTATCCATGCGGGCATGCGCATTTATTTCAAAAGTCTCTCAACTCTTCACAAGGTTATAAAAGGGTCATGCTTTTATTTTACTGCCAATCAATTTTATTTTAGGTATATAGTATTTACACTCAGGATTACTATGTTATAACAACAGTGGACAAAAAGTATTTTTTTAAAGAAGACCCTGAGAATACCACTATGTTCTTTAATATGCATATCCAATCTACCTTTCTTGGTGCTTTATTCAAAATACTAATTGGGATCCCACTCATAGCTGTTTATGATGATGATCTGCAGATCTTTTAGATTTTAATCTACTTTAACACAGCAAACATTCTATCTTTGCATGAGACTCATGGTGCACTGATATATTTCTTCCTACTTTCAGTTCTGCGAGTTTGATATTAATGATACAGCCTTTAGTATGCATGAGTGTTTCACTGCAGATCAAACATACTGTAGTGGCCCACCAGCAGCCACGTGGTAAAAGCCGCTGAACACTGGTAGTTTGATACGAGATTTGAGTCTTCTGTATGTGTAACGTGGATATAAGCCAGTTTTCCTTAAAAAGACCTCCCTTTCCAGGTAATGCCCAAGCGTGGAGCAAGTAATTAGTTTAAAAAATACTGTAATTGCACAAGAGTAAGTAATATTTATAACACAAAAGTAAAACTTACAACAACAAGAGTAAGTAATGTTTACAATAACAGTCAGAGAGTAAGTAATATGGTAAAGAATAAAAGATAAGAGGAAGTAATATTTAATAATACAGTCAAAAGTCGTTAATTCGGACACCTATAATCCGGACCTCAAAGCTAAAAACTTTCTGCGCATGCACCGCGTTGACACATGCGCATAGGCGTTTACGCGTGCGCGTAAGACCTTTACGACTGCGCATATGTGTGTGCGCAAGCGCAGAATACGTTTTCGCGTGCGTGTTTTATGTATAACGGTGATTAACTGAAATAGATAATTATCTAATTATCTATTTCAGTTAATGTTGATGATTGTGTTGTTCCTTAATCTTCGAGTTGGATCCGGCTTATTATTTTTTGCAGACTGTAAGAGCAATTTTATAAAAGTAAACTTGAACTTTCGATTATGTCAAATAGAATTTCTGATGCTGGAGCTCCCAAAGGATCTACAAAACGAAAGTATGTTTCGATGTCCATCAAACAAAAAGTGAAATTGCTGCAAAAAATGGATAAAGGCATGAAGAAGGTGACAAAGAGATTAGTGAAAATGAAAAAATTTCGATCGACTAGTTAGTCGGTATTCTCGGCACAGCAATTACGGGACTTGAACAGTGGAACTTTGTAACTGAACAAGAAATTATGTCTGTTTATAGAATTAAAGAGAAAGTATTATCACATAAAACGAAGCAACTTAAAACAAATTACATTGAAAGAAATCTTTAATAAAGTAAACAAATAAATATTAAGCTTTTTTTTTGTAAATTTTGATACCGTTGATATCATAAATTACAGTTTCACATTTTTAATTTTAGAATTTCTGCATGCCATCTTATGAGATTTAAACTGATGATCTACAATCCGGAATCGCCGAAGTCCCGACGAGTCCGGATTAACGACTTTTGACTGTATTAAAGAGAGTAAGTGATATTTACAACAACAATTCAGAGACTTCTGAATTGTATTATACACATTCTAATTAAGTAAAAGTTATTGTATAAAAATGACAAATAATAATGTTATTGATATCTGTAGCATGAAAAAATTTTGCTTATAAAGATACAGATCAACAGCTACACATTCCCCATTTCTCCTCTAAGGAAAGCTGAGCAATATTCCACAAAAACAAACTTAAAGCACATAATTAACTTAAACCACATAATTTAAAATTAACATAAAACACATAAGTTGAAATTATTGTATGCAGCTAACTCAATAAACATGTTTCTAGATGAATTAAAATTTGTTTTTAGTGATCATGTAAAAACAAAGCAACATATTGATTGCATAAAGGATTAAATAATTTTCTTCCCCTGTTAAACAACAAACCTCAGTGTACGCTCCTCTTGACGACCAAGTTCAACCTCTTCACTAAAAGATCGACGATCGAGTTGAATGAGCTCTCCTTCCTGCTCATGATGTGTTCGTTCAAGATGGCATACTTCTTCCTGAAGAATGCTTAATTTTTCTTCTTGTTCTTGCAATCTTCCTTCCCAATATATTATTTCTAAAAAGTAATACAAGGTAGAAGTTAAAATGTGAAAAAGATGAAGTGACACATAATACTATTTTCATTCACACAACACATATCAAGTATTTAATTTTATTACAAAAGTAATAAATTAAGTAAGCATGGAGATGTTCTGAATTAATGATGAGAATACATTGAACACTGCAGCTAACTTCAAACTCAATGTCCAGAGCAGGGCCAATGCTAGGCATTTTGCTGCTTAGTGCAACAATTTCTGCATATCCTAAATTCTGCTGCCCAAGGTCTCTCTAAATTCTAAAAATTTTGCTGCTTGGTGTTTCTCTAAATTCTAAAATTTTTGTGGCAAGGTGCAGCTGGACCCACTCGGGGCCAGAATTAAATTCAAGGTGACAAAATGGATTGAAAGCATAGAGGAATTTTACATTATTTAACATACAATAAAGCCCAATCTAGCATCAAACTAATTAGAAAGATCAAATAACCAGAATTTAGGGGCGCCAAAATTTTTAGAAGAGGCAAATTTACTGCACTGGGTCACAAAATGTCTAATACCAGCCCTGGATATATGCCTTTTGTAGCTAATCCCATGATACAGCACCAGTAGTGTATACCAGTTGCTAGCTGCTTTATGATGATAGCTTTGAATTTGAAGGATTTTCAGATATCACAAGATTGCAACCAAGGCCCATCAGGAATGAAACTGCCTATATCTCTCTCCATTCTAATTGAGCTATTTTCACAATTTCAATGTTGCTCTTAGAATTAAAAGATCTACAAGTCTATGTAACAAATAAATGCTTGAAAGCAAGAGGCCTCAAATTAACATAAACACAATAGGCTTTAATACAAATTTTATGTGAAAAATGTATTGGAATCTCATTTTATTCTAAAGCCAAAATTAAAATTTTGAACAATCCCCGAGGAATCAAATTCATGTGCATCCATGCATAGATCATGGACTTTAACAATTCCCATCACTTTTTATCTTAAATTTCAAACTGATGAATTGCATCCCATTTCATCAGCCATGCTTGTAGAGGGAAAATAATTTCTAGACATTGTTCAGCGACTATAAGACTAAGATGAAATAGCGTCTATTGAAACACATATACATGAGGGTCTTAAAAACTTCCCTCATTTATGAACCCCTGGCAGCCTATTAATTCAACCAATCAAAGTGAAATTTCAGACATTGTTATTGAAGCATTAAGATAGACAATAGAGATGTCTTGTTTTGCACCTGTTTTCTGCCCGCAAAGCGTAAAATGCTTAGGTGCAAAAGAAAGGCAGATAGAAAGAAGGCAATTTTGTCTGAGAAAAAAATAATTTCGTAGCATTTGATACGAAATTTTTAATGGCAAGTAAAAAAGTGGGTTAAAAAAATAAAGCCCCAAATTATATCAAAATAATAATAATTTATGGGCCTCAGTAAGATAGAGATGATGATAGAGAAGCATGAAGAAACCTAACCATGAATGTCCTTACATGCAACAAAAAATTTGTCAAATACTGAAGAAGTCCATCTGATTTAACACCTAATAATGAAGGTCCTAATATACTGTTGTAAATATATAGTATGCTGAGTGAAGTGTTGAAAATAATAACCTATCTAAATGAAAAAGGGTACAAAAAAGGGGGTTAATGTTTCGTCCTAGTAATTGAGTACTACCGTGAGCATTTATTCCTTATCAGAGGAAAAAAAGAAGCTAAAAAAACTCTGATCAGGAATCTGTTGTTTTCAAAACTCTTTAAGTGTGCTTGAGCTAGTTAAAAGTGCCTACAAATTTCCCCCCCCCCCCCCCGTTTGATAAAAATTTTAAATCTAGTTTGAAACATAAATTTAAGTAAGAGAGGAAAATAAAAATAATAATAATAAATAAATAAATAAATCACGAATGCATGAGAAAGCTTTAGAAATGATCTAATTTTTAAGAAGCAAACAATCATCTCTGTGAAGGGGATAAAACTTATAAATCTAAGTACTGAAATTTTTATACCAAAAGTAAATGAATAAGTAAAAGAATCACTTCACGTTCGTATGCATTCCTAATTTCAAAGAGAGGGAAAAAAAATCTCCTTTTTACTATTTTGCATCAAATACTTAAGGTTGATTTAAAACAATAGAGCTCTTTGGTTATAGTGAAAAAATTTTGAAATTTTCAAATGGCAACATTTACTTTTTTCCTTCGCAAATTGACCAGCACATTGAAAAACTACAAATGCAGTTGGAACAATACTCAAATGACGAAAATTGGTGGCAAAAACATTTGCAAAGACCATTGTAAAAGACCAGTGATAACGCAAGAGAAGAGAGAAAATTTTTTTTTATTGGAATTGAAAGTTTTCAGCATTCACTTACATAACATAGCAGAAGGAATCTGTATAACTTCATGTCTTATGGCATCTTTCAATTCTGACAAATCTCGTAGATTTGATGTGTACACCTTAGACTTCAGATAACTCCAGAACCAGAAATTCACGAGAGTAGGTCTGGTGGATTTATATTATGGATATTATGGATTGTGATGGCCACAAAACTGCAAAGTTACAGGAGATGACAGTCTTAAAACATTGTGCAGGCTGAAAACTTGTAATCTAATTTCTTCGCCTTTCTTGTTATCATTGGTCCTTTACAATGTTGTGAAAATGTTTTACACAAGCAATTTTTATCACACACGTATTGTTCCAATGCTATTTATGGTTTTACAATGTGATGATAATTTGCGTAGGAAAAAGGTGGGCTTGCCATTCGAAAATTTTTTCTCTGTAACTGTAATCGCGAGAGCTTCATTGTTTTAAATCATCACAATCTTCAGCACATATCTTCAAATAACAATAACTGAAATTTCCGATTGATTGAGTGGATAAGTTGCTAAGGATTCATATATCATGGAAGTTTTTATAACCATCCTGTATTTCTTCCTAAGCCTCATCTTAATCTTACATAACAGAAGACCATCAATGGAGCAGCCGCATCATCATTACAACTTTCGGCAATAGATGCTCCATCAATGGATACCATCTACTATCTGCTACTCCAAGCCAAGGAGGTGGCTTGGTGATCAGCGAGCATTTATTGAGAATTTTTTACACACATTTTTACATGAATAATGATATAGAGTTTTACATCAGAGAATGTGTACAAAGAAACATATAAAACATATAAACATCTTATGTAACAGTCATAACTTTGACAAGACTAAAGCCACTACATGGTAATTAATATCTTTCAGAAGTTCGATTTAAAATTCTTAAAAGTATTATCAGCCACCTTTAAGTGATACCCATCAGAGAACATGCACTTGTTTTGATTCTGACTGAAATTTTAATCTCATGTTACAGAATTCATGATTTTATTAGAATTTGATCATATTGTAAATGCACACATCAATTTTAAAAATATATTTTAATTTTTAACTAATACATTTTTAGTTTCCTAGTACTACTTCTACCTTTAATAACTGCTTTATAGGTTAAGACCTTTTTAGAAGCATTAATATAAATCCTTGCTGTGAAAATGCAAACTTCCACGATTCTTTCTGCAAATTTTATCTCCTCAAAATTTCAGTAATTAAATAAGTTTTAGTCCATACGTATAAACATCAATATAAAACTGATGAACAGTAATTGATAAAATATTTAAAACCATTACAGCATTCTTCTTGAGAAAATTACTTAAAACAATAAATTTGTTTGAAAATAAAAGCTTCTACACTTATATTTAAAAAAAAAAAAAAAAAAAAAAAAAATCTGTCGAAAATACTTCTAATGCATTGAAATGTACAGAGAAACCATGCATCACAAACAAATTCTCACATTTGAAAAATGTCTTGGATGATAAACAATGTCTTGTGATATGAATAAGTAAGCCGACAACAAATATTCTAAAACACAGTTAATGTTGTGGAAGAAATGTCTAAAGAAGATAGAAGGAAGGCTATTTCTACTTACTCGATCTGTGAAATTTGTGCTAAATAGGATAAGGTGCAAAAGTTCATGGAACATTATCCCATTGAAAATGCAAGGGTAGGCATTCGCATAAATATTTGTAATACCCATGTTTTGTTTTGAAAATTTTAAAATGTAAGACAGAATCACAGTGAACGAATTTCCAATGGTGTTAAGAGATGTTTGAAAGCCAAAAATCTTTGAAAAATGGCGATTTCGGATTTTTGCATTTTCAAATTCTCTACACTTTTAGCTTTCTTAAAATATCATTCTTGAAGCTCTATGAAAATTAGAAATGTAAAATATCTAGTTTTAATTTGTCATCGAATACTTTGATAAATGAGGATTTTTACATAAAAACTTGTTTTTCTCCAAGCATGATATTTTTATACTTGATGTACCTTTTCTCAGGAACTACTACTCACAGATATCTAACATGTTTATGGCTTATTTATTATTTTCCCTAATATATACTAAAAAGAGCTTTTTGTGATAAACTGAGAAAAAAAAATTGTGTGAGAAAAGTGCTAAATTTTACTATGCTTAACAAAATATTCTGTAAATTACTCTAAAATTCAAAATGTTTAAAAAACTCATTTCAGTATAATCAGATATACTTTAATTACACAAAAAATTTCAATCGTGTATCTACAGCAGATTTTGAGAAAAGGTACACCGAAAATGTCCAATTTAACACTGTTGGTATAGGAGTTTCCAGCACAACTTTAGAAGAAAGAAGGAAAGAAAGGGGAAACCCAGAAAAATAGTGGTGCTATAAGATATTTTTGCAAAATAGGATTTTCCTTTTAAATAATAATATTTTGCACCTTGGCCTTTTTCACCATCTTCTATTTTTGTTATCAATTTTCCTTTGAAGTGGTATGGTAAAATTTAATTCAAATTTTCTATTTTTTATATGTTTAGTATTGTGTTGAATATTGTATATGAACTAGATTTAATGAATTTCATCAGTTTCATATTACGAACTTACATTCAAAGCATTCTTTTCTTAACAATCATATGGGATCCAGGAACGGATTAATTTACTTTTATTAATTCCAATGGGGAAAACTGCTTCAAGTTACAAAAACAGTACAAAGTCCGTAATTCTGACTCGTTGGGACTTCGGCGATTCCGGATTATAAATCACCAATTTAAATCTGGTAAGATGGCATGCAGAAATTGTACAATTAAAAATATGAAACCATAATTTATGAAATAAAGAGCATCTATAATCTAAAGGGTATCCAAAATTTACAAAAAAAAAAAAAAAAAAAAAAAAAAAAAAAACTTAATATGTTTATTCTGTTTAATTTATTAAACAGCTTTCTTTTAATGTAAATTGTTTAAAGTTGCTTCATTTTTTGTGCTTAATACTTTCTCTTTCAATTCTGTAAACAGACATAACTTCTTGTTCAGTTATATAAAGTCCCACTGTTCAAGTCCTGTAATTGTTACTGCATCGAGAAATACCGGACCTAACTTGTCAATTGAAATTTTTTCGTTTTCAATAACCTCTCTGTCACTTTTGTCACTATCAGAAGCGGCACATCGAAACATGCTTTCACTTTGCGATCCTTTGGCAGCTCCAGAATTGGAAACTCTTTTTGACATAATAAGTTTAAGCTTTATTTTTATAAGATTGCTCTAGTCTGCAAAAAATAATAAGCCAGATCCAATTAAAAAATTAAGGAACAACACAATCTGTAAAATTAACTGAAATGCCTTAGAATCAGTAAAGATAATTTTAGCCTAGCTTATACCATCCGTTATACATTAAACGCGCATGCATAAAACATACCAAAAAAAAGTTTGTGGCTTTGAGGTCCGTTTTATAGATCATTCCGGATAATGGATGTCCGGATTACGAACTTTGTACTGTATCTTAAATGATGAAAGGAATCTTCCAAAAGGATTTCAGCTAAGCCAACTCTGAAACAGTGGCATAGCTAGTGTGGGGCAAAAGGGAACATCTGTCTCCAGGCACAGCATCCAAGGGGCACCAAATTGATGCTACAAATTTTAGAACAAAATGTTTTCTATTCTTGAATCACAGAAATGGGTGCAAAATCTTATTTGTTCCCGGGCACCGAAAACCCTAGCTACACCTCTGCTCTGAAATAACTCCCACTGGAACAAATATGTGCTGGCAATTCTGAAAGCACTGGAAGAATGTCTCTTCGGAATCTCACATAAACTAGCAGCTCCCTTATTTTGGATAGTTTGAAAACTTTGATGCCATATAACCGAGTTGTTCAGAAAAAGGAATGAGAGGAAAAGATGAGAAATCTGGCAAATAAGGTGATTGTGCCATAACAGAGATCAGTTCCTGATCAAAGAAACCCAAGCTTTTTTGCTCAAATGTTCAAAGGATACTTTGTTTGCATTATATTTAAATTATGTTGTTCTGTATGATGTCACTTCATATACTGCTTCTAAAGTGAGGCTAATGCTATCTAACAACTTGAATTAAGCATTGCAAATTTTCTGGGAAAAATTCCAAAATAAGGTAACCTTTGAGTTAAAAACCAATTTGATAATAAACTGCCAAATGTGGTTACTTTTTATTTATCATGGTCTTAAGCCATTGCAGCAACCTTTTCGGTCAGGTTCTTCTTTACCACTGAATTTTAAATTATTTCATGCTCGACTTTCAAATGTTAATTTGCATATGAAATTTGAAGATGAATTTCCATCTGTTTACATGTCTTAAGTTTGTATAGCAAGTGCACAGATTCACAGTTTAAATGTTATATGTTTCTTTTGCAACTGGATGAAATAAACGTAGAACAATTTTTGAATAAGTTTTCGAATTTTGTAACAGTTTGATAAGATGTCTATGATCATAAGAGTGAAAATCCTCTGCAGCTTTGTTTTATAATAATAAAAGGGAAGAACAAAATTCAGGTCTTTAATAAAAGCAAAATCTTCCTCTTTGCCCTAATATTTAATTTTACTAGCATTTCAAAATTCAGCATGATTGAATTTGAGATACCTTTTAGCCAATAGGAAAATTAAATTATTAGAAGCATTTCTTTTTTTTTATAAGGCTAAAGGGCTAACGGCTTCTAAATACAAATGATCGGTTTATGAAAATGAGAGCAAATGTGTGAAGCATAAAGCATTATCCTCTGCAAGTTTCAAATTTACTTAACTCTTTGCTGAATTTATATGGCACAGGAAGTGCACAAAAAATATTGAGAAACTTTATTCTACATTTTCAAAGGACATTAAACTTTTAATAAACCATAGCCTGCAGATCAGGAAACAAACTAAATGTAAAAAGCTTTCTACTGTGTTTTAAATCAGTTTTTGATTTCATTATTATCTGGTTCTGAGATTACTTGAATTCAAGAAGAACAAAATGCAAAATTGATCATACCATATCTATGGCCAAAAACTGACATTTGACAGCATTTATACATACATATACTATGTATAGATACATACATAAACTTAAAGCACCTAAATTTAAAAGTAAATTAGAGTCAAAGCAAGGCAATTCATCAACAATATTAATAATTGAAACCATGCATAAGAGCTTTATCACATTATCAAACAAATCAAAATTAAAATAAGAATTCATAGTAGCACAAACTTGAAAAATAAAAATGCAAAAGGGAAAAAATTTACAAGAAAATAAAAATTCATCTCCTTTTACTGCATTTCCAATTCAGAACTTTTCAGGGCAAAATGAATTAAAGCTTCATAAAAGTCAATTAACATGTTTCAAAAATGTGTTTTGTTACATATATATTTAAAAAAACAGTTTTAAAACTATGGAAAAAGAACTCACCCGCATCATATTGAGTAAGCTCAGCCTGCTGATTATCTAACTTTTCCCTCTGTAAAGACACTAAACGTAGAAGATCTTGATATTGTGGATCACGAGATGTATCTTCTCCCTGAGAAGAGTTTGATTTTTGTGCAATACTCTGTAGTTTTTCACTAGATATGTGCTTTTCATTTTCAAATTTTAAAGCCAAAGATTTCTTTGACTTTGTTTGGTCATCTGAAATACTGTTCTGTAAAGACTGGACAGACTTTTCTGGAGACCTACTGGGAGATTTAGCACGATTTGGCAATAAGTTTACACGTTCATGATGCCCAGATATAAGTTCTGGACTTCTCATATTGAAATCTCTATTTTGGTCCACTAAGTGATGAGTTTTATGACTATTTAATTGACGAGTATGAGCTTGTGACTGACTGGATGAAGGACCTGTATCTACAGGTGAAAAGCGATCAGATCTATTGGCAAGATGAGGTCTTTTACTAGAAGGAGATTCTTCATCTTGTGTGTGAGATGGTACTGGAGTTGCTAATGATAGATGACTAGCAGGAAAACGGCCACTGGAGCGAGAAACAGCTTCATCATAAGGAGGAGGGTGCTTCGGTCGTTCAATTTTCGAGTTCGAAGGATTCGGACTTTCACTGTCTCGAGGCCTTTGTGGTACTCCTCTAACCACCCCTTTCGGAAGGTCCTGTTTAGTACGTCCTTCCCGGTTTTTTATGTTGCGATTACCAGAGTTATTTTCACCTTTGGACTGAGTGCTATCATTTATAATGGGGGGTGAAGAGTTTTCACTGCTAACACTACCACTACTTCCATGGCCACAACTGAAGGTTAAGGATTTTTTAATTTCTTTGTTATTAACAGGTACTTTCTGCTTGTTGCTGCCACTAGTAGGTGAAAAGCTGCGAAGAAAATCATGCTGCCTCTTATTGTTTTGAGTTTGATTATTGCCTGATGATTGTAATTTTGAATCTGCAGCAGATCTTCTCATCACAAAATGCACATCATTTGCATATTCACCCCATTTTGTTAAGACTTTCAAAGGTTGTTCATGTGGGGCTAGAAGACGTTCGCTGTTCCTCCACTTCTCAACAAGAGTAAAACGGCCTGTTTGGCCAGTGGCATGTGCCAAGGCATACACAACATCCTGGCATGTGGACGATTCTGTAACTCCACATACCACTCTTTGTATGCCATCAACCCATACCTTCAGCTCCATTATTATTTAAGAAATCACAATTTCTTGACATCTTCTTTTCTATGAACACAACGTTGATGACTGACATGGAAACAGCAACGGGCCATTGAAGTAATCCACGGTTATAAATTGAGAAAATATTTAGAGAGAATCCTGCAAGAAAAAGAAAAATATGAGAAGAGAAGCACTTACTGAAAAGAATACAAACTATAAAAAAAATTTTAGCGACTGCAAAAATTCCTCATGATATTAACCCCTCGACATACAAATGAAATACGTGTCAACATGTTCGAAGAATACCATTTAATTTGGCTCAACTGCAGACACTCACGTGCAAGCTTAGAAACAGAACATTTTATTTGCCTGTAATTTACACTGCAATACAGCAATAATAATATTTTGCATTGGCCGAAGATAGTTCTCGATGTCTCGGTGACGTCAAAGTCTACAATGGCACATGAAATTAATGATGTCTCCTGGATGCTATTTCATGTCAAGGGATTAAACAGTTTAAAGACAAATCTGGAATTCTTACAATATGATTTATGGCATCAAGTTTGTTTAACTATCTTTAATAATGGAGAGACATCAGTGAAATTCTATATCACCATAGAAATTGTTCAGAAATTATACAGAAGCTTTTTCATAGGATATTAACTTAAACCTAATTTTTTACCCAATAATTAAAAAAAATTAAGCAACAGTACGCACTAATATTATTGTAAGAAATTATGTTACAGATTTACAAATGAAAATAATTCAGAAACAGTAGAACAGTGATCCCTTGTTTTCCATGGGAATTATGTTTTTTCAATGTTCTACAGATAATGAAACTAACAGAGCATATTTTTAACATAGCGACTTTTAAAAATCGCCACTACACAAAGACAAAATAACAAGTCGAAGAATTGCACAAACTCGGTATCCATGTACACATTTAAATTAAAATTAGAGAATTGCACAAACTTGGCATTGTAGACTACCTTGACTTTGTCTATTTACACATCAAAATATTTTCATTTAAAAAGTCAAAGGAGCATCCAATTCTAGGAAAAAGTATAGTTATGGAACATTCAACTACTCAGGTTACCATAAATGAAACAACTACTTGGTGATAAATGAAATAACAGCTTCATGATAATACAAGGGGTCTGTCTAATTTAACATGAATATTTTTAGTAGAAATGATACCAGTAAAAATATAGAAGATTCATTAAAATATAATAATCGTACTTAACAATAAAAATTAATTTAGCAAAAGTATTCAGCAATATTTAGACTATTAAGGAATGAAGAAAATCTTATACAGCTTTCTGTTTTCTGTTGTTTTTAATTTTTAAGTAATTTTTCATAAGGCTCCTTTTTCAAATCTCTTGAATGCCTCTTTCAAATTTCAATTTCCTTTTCGTGATATGATCAGTTAAATGTCCTACCAAAAGAAATATTTTATTTAAAAGTTTTTATTGAAAAATCTTGTCTTAATAGTTTTCACTTCCATTTAATGCGCTAACATTTCCTTCTCATTCAAATTTACGATAAGCTATACCAATTCCTCCAGTGTTATATTCTAAATGACAATGGAATAAGATCATGTGATCTATATTTGTTACATTTTAAATCTTCCCCTACGATTTTTGTTACGAGCTGTATCTAGAATTCTACTATCAATTATACTGTAATAACATAATTGTGTCAAGAAGTATTTTTTGAAAGTTCGATTACTTATTAAGGCATTCTGAAAGGGAGCAAAACACCTGCTACTATCTTGAGCATCCTGTCTACCAAATGTGTTAAAATTAAACAGATAAATGAAGAATAGAAACCAGAAAAAGAGAAGAGAAACCATTGAACAATACTGAGTTATGCAAAATTCTAGTACTGAGGAAAAACCACGCAAGATTTCAGACCTAGTTTATTCTAATTTTCACAGACTGTGGATGATTAAAAGTGCAAAATTTTTTAACCTATGATTAGGTGCTATAAACACGACTCTAGTTCCAGAACAGCATAAAAATATTTTACATGGAAAGCACTTTTCATTACAAAACTGTTATAGTAAGAAGTGCATTCAATGCAAAATAATAAAAAAAGGGCATTGAAATTTTATTATTGTTTACAAGGAACATTTGTGGCTAACTCCGCTTTGGGATTTTATAGTTGATTTTTTTATAGTACTGCTATTTAACCAAATAATTTACCTGACGATCTCGAAAACAGTAGCATTATTTGGCTACTTACATTATCAAGAAAGAAATACCAACTAAAGTTATAAGGCATTTCTCCCTCCTTCTTAACATGCCTTCGTGGTGTAATGGTCAGCACACTCGACACGTATTTGAGAAGTCTGTGGTTCGAGTCCCGGAGACGACATTGCACATTTTTCACTTCTCCAGCACTGATATAATCCACTATCTCTACAGTGTTGCCTGAACTAAAAAAGATAGTGGATGATGATTCTCCACCGCCAGGATTTGGCGACTGGGTTCCCTAATCCCCAGTTGTCCTTTAAAAGAGGAAGTATATAAGGTTATTTCTCCTGCCTTATCAGCATGCCTTTATGATGTAGTGGTCAGCACACTCGGCCTATATACCTAATGTCTCTACAAAATAACCAACATTTGACAATGAAAATACATGTTGCAATCTGTACTAGGGAAGAATTTTAGAAATTTTCGATTTGAGATCAATAATAAATTTGCAAAAATCACATGATGAAAATCACCCTTTAAAGTAAGAGATCAACATTTGCTTCACCTTTAACCTAACACAGATTTGAACCACACTGTAAAGTAAATGCTATATTAGCAGTCCCCGCTAATCTTTGGAATGTGGTAACAGGTAGTTTGGCGACATTTTGGTAAAGCGATAAAGGTTACTAGCTAGGACTTTAGCAGTGTAAATGTATAAAGTCAAGAGTGTGCGCAATGCCATTTTTGTGCAATTCTGGGATGTTTTTTTAAGTGAAAATAGGTCGACGTGTACATGGATGATACCGTGTATGTGCAATTCTTAAAAACGCGGCAAGCAGTGGGCGATTCTGCACTTTCTCCCAATTTCGCACCTAATCTTCGTCATGATTAAGCACTTTTGTTCCATAAAAGTTGTAGCATAAGCGTAATTCGGCTAGCAGATTGTTGGAAAAAATGTTGAGTAAAAAAAAAAAAAGTGCCTTTACTTCGTGAAAACAAAATGGCGTCCAAACAAAAACTAGCAGGTTGCAGTAGCAGGGTTGGTTGCCAAATTTTCGCCAAGTTACCATAATCCGAAGATTAACCGCAGTCTTCCCCCCCCCCGAAAAAAAAACTTTTACATAAAAGTTAAAATTCTCTTGCATGGGGTTATACAAAATTTAAAATAGATCAAAGAATAATTAGCCATACACTATGAACAAAATCAAAATAATTTCAATTACCCAGGTTTAGATGTTAAATTCTGTCAGTGAGTGAGGATGGGAAGCGGGGGCATAGCTAGAGGGGACCAAGGGGTAAGATCTGTTCCTGGGCGCAGCATCCTGGGAGGGGGGGGCGCCGAACTGACGTTACAAGTTTTTAGAATGAAATGCTTTTCCACTCTTGGCAAAAAAGAGGACGCGAGATCTTCAGTTGTCTCCTGGCGTTGAAAACCCTAGCTACAGGTCTGATGGGAAGTTTGCCATTTCTCAACAGCAAGCGGTCTTCGTCGGCTGTTCTCGAATTTCTAGAGATCTTAAATTACAGAAGTCATCTGGAATTCTTTAACCGTCTACAGAGAAGGAATGCAACTGACCCCAGGCGAAGAGATGAGGGCCACAGCTCTAGTGTAGATATATAGTAGCAACTAAGGGGGCAGCTGTCAATGAGTAGAAAGTTAAGTTACCGTTTTACAGATAACGGTCCGGCGGTGAAATGTGAGAAGATCGAACATCGCTAAGACAACTACTCCGGAAAGCGTTTATAAGGGACTTCCACACTTTTTTTCCAGTTATTCGCCAATTCACATTCTTTCGCAAATCAAAAACTTTCAAGAAAATGCTTCATACAGATAAAAACTGTCTCTGATGCAAGGATTAAAAATAAATGTTCCTTAAAGTGATGGGAATCACTATTTTCATCGAAAGAAGTCTTTTATAGATTTTCACAAATAAATGTTAGTTGAGCCTTATTAAAGCACCCACAAACTACAAAATGTTAACAGGCTGGATAAGAAACATTAAAAAAAAAAAAAAAAAAAAAAAAAAAAAAACACTCTCTCATGTGTACATCACATGACTTTCTTGTACGAAGTATTAAATTATACACAATTTTCCTACATTCCATTTAAACATATTGAATTAACAGTTAACGAATTTTGAATTAAATCTACTTCGTCGATATCACAATAGAATAAATGCAATCCCTAAAGTTCACTATATTTATTTACCATAGCGACATTTCGGCGCTAGGTTTACTTAACAGCATTACATCTCATTCATTTTATAACTCAGAGTGCATAAAATTATATCATCTGAAGAATTACCTCATGTTCTATTCAAATAATAAAATATTAAAAAAAAAAAAAGGGGGGGGGGGGGGAGTTATTCACAGACGATTCAGCGCCGCTTACCTAATGCGCATGCGCTACTAATTAATTCCGTTCTCACTTCGCGGCAAGGCAAAACTACATAAAAATTCAAAACGGTTTCATTAAAAATTGAAAGATATAGAAAAACATAAAAACACCAAGTATAGTTAAAATAAATAAATAAATAAAAAAAATTAAAATTAAAATTACAGTTTCTGCGCAAAAACAAGCTAATAAATTAAATGATAATTCCAGAATGAATTAAGCATAATTTAATTCGCAATAATACAAGAAGACGTTACTTTGTTGTTGCGACTCTTAGTTTCTCTAGATTGGCAACAAATCCACTACTCTGCTAAGTTTTAAATGTAAACAAATATGGCTGCTACGGTAACCAAAAATTAGGTTTAGGCGCATTTAAAAAACTTTCAAATTGTTGATAATTCCACAATTAATGCATGCAGGTTAATTAAAGGTATAAAATAACCTTAACCGGAAGATAAGAACAACATAACGCAATCACTTCTAAAGAAAAAAAATGCACAATTTACAAACATATAAGAATAATATAGTATTTATATACTTTTGGCGCAGCCGATTGCAACAAAAATGGG